CATCTTCAATGCCACCTAGTTTTGAGTGTTTTTTTTTATTATTATGTAGATGCTAAGTAAACATTATTCATGTGGGTTCTTGTGTGTGTTTCAGAGTTGAGCGAAGAGGGCGGTGTCTATGACATCCTGGCTGACCCCCCGGGCCCAGAGGACGAGGATGAGGATGATAAAAGGGAGGTGTTTGAGTTTGAGTTCTCTGACCGCCCTCTGCTGCCTTGCTACAACATCCAGGTGTCCCTCTCTCAGGGGTAAGCTTTGATCTCAACAGCAGACTCCCATTTTAAAAAGAAAAAAACCTCTATGTTGGCCTTGATTTCTAAACATTGCTTGATTCCCTCTTTTCAGGCCCAGAAACTGGCTGCTTCTGTCGGACGTGCTTCGCAGACTGCGGATGTCTGGTCGCGGTTTCCGACAGGCTTTCCCACACATGGAGGTGGTGACGGTGGCAGAGGCGGAGTTTTACCGGCAGGCCTCGCTGTCGCAGCTGTTCTCCTGCCCAGAGGAGCTGGAGGGCTTCCACGCGGACAGCAAGGACCTGTTAGACCTGGTGGAGGACAGCGGGGAGCTGGCGGCGCTACTCGGCTCCACCCTGGAGTGCCTGGACGACCGCTGGGACCATCCAGGGGACAAACTGAAGGACAAAATCAAGACTAATGGAAAGTTGGGCTCCTCCTGACCCCTTGAGCCACTGCACCCTGGACCTTGATCCTAAACGACTGCAGTCTCTTTAGACACCCCCCCCCCCACCCCCCCAGAGGGTTTGATGATTTGCCTTAGCCTGACTTTTAGTTCCTGCGCTTCGGCCCAGCACTGTACAGATGGACTGACCTGCTGCTGATTGGCTGCTGAAACGCGTCCCTCCGTTAACTGAGAATCAACACATTTCTGACTCTACAGACATAATAATGTTCTTATTTTTATAAATTAATATATGTATAAATAAATAAATAAATATATATATATAATATCAAGAGATTTTTCTTTCTTTCCGATGTTGCTCACAACTCCTCTGAAAGAATTTTGTATGACAACAGAGTGTATTGTCTTGTCAGCGATTGGATGGAGTGTGTGAGCACGCAGCGCATGTGTGTAGCTGTACAGGATAGTACTGAGACTGTGCTATTGAATGTGGTATTTGTGTTGATAGGAAGCACATGATGTCCTGTCTTTTTTTTTTCTCCTCAGACTTGAGCGATTGCTTGAGCCTCGGGAGCAATTTGGTTGTATCTTTTTTTAAATGTTCACATTGCTTCCTGTTAGTCTGTAATTTAACATGCGAAACTACAAAATTGTTTGTATAATAAAGTTTTAAGATAATGTTGATATTTACCCCTTCGGCACAGAGCTTGTATATAACAGGGAGGCTACTGCAGTAAAGTAATTTTTTGTGTGATCATTTTTGTTTTAACTTTGTAATTAAAATATCTCATAATTTGTATTTATATTTTACAAAGAAGTTGCTTTAAAATAAATATACAAACTGCAAGATGAAGCATGTGTTCCGTTCTTTTTATTTAGTCACAGTTGAATTAAAACGGGCTATGAATACTAAAGTGTTACTGGCTGCTCTGTCAAATTGAATCTTCTCTAATTATCGTTTTCCACTCCTGGATGTCACCGAGGTGTGATCAACACAATCCTACATTGCCATCTCTTGGAATATGTGTGTATTGTTGGTGTCATGCAATTTATTGTTGCAGCCATAAACGGAACACCTCACGATGTCCCTTTACTGCCTCTCTGCTGGAAAGCTGTGGCTTGCAGCGCCCTCTAGTGTGCAACATCTATTATATTAAACATAACGGGTATTCAATGACAAAACATCTTCTAGAAGGTGTTTTTTTACATTGAATTAGTAAAAGTATTTATTTATTGCATTGCCACAAAGAATCTCCATGATCACTTGAATTTGAAAATACCTACTTTATATCAGAATTAGATTACCTCTATTTTACCTGCAACAGGGAAATTGACGGCATTACAACGGCAATCCAGTGCAGATTAAAGTAAAAAGTATAATTACATGCGATATAAAAAAACTATGCACATGTTATTAATGATTTACAAAACGTAAGTAGCAGTACTCTTTTATTTATTTTTTTAACTGACCATTATCAAAATATAGAAGTAACTGGTAATGTTCCCAAATTGAAAAAATAAAGCGTAAATTGCAAGAGTGGATATTGCACATGAGTGTGTCAAAAATATAATATACAAATGATTCAAGTTGTATAGTGTTTTTTTTTTCAAGAACTGTTTGTGTTAGCCAAGATTGATTGTATTTCCCTTTGCCATTGACCTCCATCATTGTCCAAAAGCACTGACAAAATCCCAATTAAATCTAATAAAACTTTTCATAAAACTACAATGTCCAACTTTCATAATGTAGACTATTTTTAGAGAAAATATATATTCCTGACACCTTTTTGAAGTTTTTTTTCTTGTATTTTGGGATGAGAGCCTTAAAGAAAAGGGATGCGTTTATGATTGTTAATGAGATCAAACATATATTACTGTATATGAACAGTTTATAAAAACAATTACGACAAGATTAAAAAAAAGCAGGATAAACCTCAGGCCAGGTAGTTTTACATTTATTGGAGTACTGGTTGAAATGGGGCTCCAGGCTCCCCAGATATCAAGAGGGTGACTGGGTTCACAAAGAACAGAGAGTGGGAGGACCGTGAGCTTAGTGGGGGACCCAAGGCCCCTCAGTGGGCTTATTCAGAGATGGTCTGCATCACATCCTGAATACGCTTTGTTTAAGAGTGTATGGATCAGCGTTTGATCTTTGCTTCAGTGACCGTAAAGGACTGCGGCAGAGAAACACATCAGTCTGTGAGGCTCTGCGGAGCGCGCTAAATTAGCAGCTAAGTATGTCAGCATGACGATCTGGCCAAGTTTTAACTAAGCTGAAGTAAAGTAAAGTACACTGACTCAAATGAGGTAAAGTAAAGGGAGTTATACAAAGCAGATATACTCAAAAAGAACTGCCCTACAGTATCTCTGCAGCATTGGTGCAAAGAGAACGCTGGCATGAAGCCAAGAGCAAGGCCCTGAATTCTGAGGTAGTTGATCCACAAGCTAACAATGGAGCTCTGGGGAGGTACATGGCCAATCCAGCCCCTCGGGGCAAAAATAAACCCCTGGAGGAATCCTCTAAGAAAGGGAAAGCAGACTAAAATCGTCATCAGGCTCTGAAGCGATCTTAAGATGTGTTTTAATGTTGAAAACCAAGACGCCTTGTTTTATCTGAGGCCAACAGCTTACTGGAGTGAAGTCTGAGCTTCAGCTGCTGTCTCCAGGCAGCGAGACATTTGCCGGTTTCTCATATCCAGGTAAAGGTTATGGAGTGACAAGAGGCTGTCAGACAGCTAATTGAGATGCTGCAAAGAGTTGAGCCTGGCAGACCCCAGTTACCCTCTCAGAACGAACGCTGAAGTCAGAGTCATGTCCTGAGGCAGGAGGTGCAGGAGGCCCACACTCAAGACACTCAAGAGCTCCTCTCCTGACTAACATCCCATTTTTACTGAACAGCAGGATGTAATTTCAGAACATAAGCCTCTAGGTGAAAAAATCGCCTCAGTGAGGATTTCACTGCATGCTTACCACCCACTCGGTTTTCCTACTAATTGTCAGTACAATGCAGCAGAAAGTTAGCAAGTGGACCTTAAAAAAGTATTTGTGATCAGCAAAAAGTTGTGTGGACAATTTCTCCAGATTTAACATCAGCATAGTAGAAGACAAAAGATGTCCCTCCCCTGGGTGTTGAACCTCAAGCACCTGCATGAAAAACCAGTACACAATCCTCTGGGCCAATGTGCCAGGCCAGATCCTGTACAAATGAACACACATTGTTAAGGTGAGCTCAGCATAATTACAAGCTTACATGCAGTAAACTGTTTTTTCTGGCCTTTTGGGTGGCAGCCATTAAAAAAACATTTGGTCTCCATCAACCCCTGAGGGTAGTAATATCAGGCCCTTTAGCTGCTAAATCCTCCATTGTTTACCAGCTACAACAAGTGTGTCTGTCTGTAAATGGTACAGAGGCCATACGGAGCCTTTTAGCTGAAAAAACAACCCAGACTTTTGAGGTTCGGTTCAGACTGCTGGACAGATAACCATGAACGCCCGACTATAGGTCTTGCTGTGATGTGATTTGGAAGGAATTTGTACCTTTATACACACAACGAGCACACAGGTATAGCGTACAGAACATGACACGAGTACAAATAAATGAATGCATAAATACAGGAATAATTTAATAGAATAATAAAATAAAATAAAATGATAATGAAATAAATAAAATGCAATAATACAATCATAAAAACTAACTTGAAAAAAAGATCTAAACATATTTAATATGATTTTTTTTTAATAATTTTTTTAAAATAAAGTGATGATAATAAGAATTAAATTTTTACTTTTTTTTACTTTTTATAAACATTTTTATATAAAACTTGAACAAATATTGCATGAAAAGATGTTTGGCAACAACAAACAATTAAAATAACAATTACATTTTTTTTTTTAAATGGGGACAAAGATTTTGATTATGTTTGCTGCTTTAAGAAAGAAACATACACAAAAACAGTCCACAAAGAGGACTTTTGTGTTTTCATTTCCTTTATTATCTGTTTCAGTTTTCATGTTTTGCTAGATTTTGTGTCCTAAACGGTAGAATAATCACGAAAATTAAGCAAATGCAATACAAAATAAATGCTTGATGCAAAAGCTTTCAGACTTTAATTAAACAGGTGTTATAGTAAAACCACCAGGGGAAGTGTTAGGAGATGTGTGAAGTGATTTTTCTTTAAATGTGTTGTTTATGTGAGAAGCCATGTTATTTTCAATTGAATACTAAAAAAGGACACCTATTCTACTGAGGAAACGATAAAAACTTAAAATAGAGAGCTCCGCAAACATTTATTTTCCTGTAGAGAAATGGTTCCTCATATCTTTCAGTGACAGATATTTTCCCATCATCGTTTGCGGTTCCGTGACGTCGGGTCAGCTGATCTCTGCTGCACCAAGGAGAAAGATGTCGCTGACAAACTGCCGAAGGATGGAGGCTGTTTTATCCGTGGCGTTTGCGCTCTGTTTCTTTATCACAAGCGGTAAGTAATGTGTGAAGAAAGACATTCACGATTCCCGTCTTTTAGGATGTGTTTTTTCTTCTTAAATATAACATAATAGCGTCATGTCTCCACCGTTTTTGCAAATGGCAACCTAGCTTCGTTAGCATCGCCTTTAGCTTTCTAATACAACCTAAAGCCCGGTGTAATACTGTGATGTTAATGAATAGGAATGTGTGAAATCATATTGTTATACGGGTAGAATTGGAGTATCTAATACGATTAAGCTTTCAACAAGGGGGTTTAAATACATATCATATGGATAGCCCGTTGCTAACGCATTAGCAAAGCATTGAGGATAAGGATGTGTGTTGTTGGGGTTTACAGATTATTCGTGGTCATGTAAAATAAAGAAATACATGTATCTGCTTCCGCTTTGTTGCTGGTTAGTAATTCACACAAGGCTGTGCTGGCATGTGACCGGCTGTTCACTGCTAGTTCCTCTTTAACATTTATCACAGGCTCTCTGTCACGAGTTAATGCCTCAGTGCACGGAGCTGTAGTGCTGGTTACAGTGGGTTCAGTTTACTATGACCTGTGAAGTCCAGTGGAGAAAACTGCTGTTTGCTGTAATGTGCATTTAACATAGCAGTGTTAATTATAACACTACACTGACACAAGGGACTTGGCCTCTCATTTAAAAGGGCCTGCTGTCTTAAATAGCAAAACATCAGATGACATTAATATGTTTGAGTCTTCGTTTTCAGTTTAAAACACTTCAACTAACGTTTATTCTCATTATCAATTATGGTGCCGTTTTCTAGGTCTCTTGATAAATCGTCTATAAAATGTGAAATGTCTATTCCAGTTTATCAGAGTCCACAGTAATGTCTTTTCAAAATGGGTTTTGTCATTACCAAAGCCACATATATTCCGTTTAATATAAGATCAATAAGATAAAAGCAGGAATGTCTATGTTTGGGAGACAAAAAAAACCCATTTCCTGCTATTTCTGCATACAAAAACCGACTCTAACAATTATTTGTGACAGTACTAACCTATTGGAATCCATTCAAGAAAAACATAAATGTATTATATTATACCTAGGCCTATTTAGTTAGAAGGCATTAAGTCAATTGCGATGATATATGGCACAAATATAAACATTAGACTTTTATTATGAAATAAGGTCAGGTGGTAATAGCAGTACAGGATATTTCCTCATTTAGAGGTCACTGTCAATTTTTATGTCTGACTGGATACATGTTTTGGATTTCGCTAAAATTAGTTGAAAATAAATGTTCAGGTCGTTAGGCAGAAACTGACTTTGCATGTCATTATTATTCCCTATATAATAAATAAATGATAGGTCACTCTATATTTAGGAGCAAAAGTAGATTTTAGACTCAATTGAAAATATATATACTCGGTTTGGCGTAGTAAATGTTTTCTTCCTGGGTTTCTACTGTGACTTAATATTTAATTCTTACATTTTCCACATGTTTTACTGGGATTGAACATCCTCTCATTTTGTCTCACAGGTGTACATGGGGACAGTTTAACGGTGCTGCAGTCTCCAGACTTTGTGTCCTTCCAGAAAGGAGACTGGCCCATCTCTGGAGAGAAGATCCCTGACCTGGTGGCTCTAACCATGGGCTTCTCTGTTCAAGAGGTGCTTTATTTTCTAGTTGCTATTCAAAAGAAGCTTAAGGGGCTCTGGTATATATTATAAAAAATAATGTATGCAATAACAATGCCAAAAACTATAGCGAGGTAATACCCCTTTCTTTCTTTATAATGTCTTTCAGACTGTCTGAACTGAACTACTACTACTACTTTAAATTGTGGGTAGGGTAGATAGCTCCCATTGTTCTGTGACCTGCCATTGTTCTGTGACCTGCCAATCATCAAACCGGGGGTCATATTTCATTAGGTGTTCATTTTTATCTGAAGTTGTAACCATGGATCTAGAAAAAATAGTTCTACCGCAAAGTTATTCTCCGTGGGGACTTCCGGCAACAATCTTGATTCTGATCAAAGGCCAGAAGACTCGAAAAAACATCAGCAAAGATGTTTTATTGAGAAGATGATCACTACGTGACAGAAGTTTTCAAAACCGTTTATGGCCCCCTTACTTCCAGTCCAACTCCAGTTGAGAACCACTGCTCTATACCATCTGCAGACAGACACACTTAAATTCTAGCTGGTAAACAAAAGAGGATTTAGCAGCTAAAGGGCCTGATTTTACTCTCAGGGGTTAATGGAGACCAAAGGTTTTTTCGACAAGTTGTTTCGGCTGCCACGCAAAAGGCCAGAAAAACCAGTTTACTGCATGTGTAAGTTTGTGATTATGCGGAGCTCACCTTAACAATGTGTGTTCATTTGTACAGGATCTGGCCTGGCCTGGCCTTAAGGCTGGTCCGTTGTTCCAGCGTCCCCGAGCCAACGTCCTGGTGGTGGTGAGAGGAGTGGATAGCCTGGACATGCCTAATAGTGTGGCCTCCTACCCCCTGGAAAATGTGAGTCAGACGGGACTGTGGAGTTATGATGTTTTGCACATCAGATATCATATATTTCTGAACAATCCAATGTCATTTGGCTTAGTTATTCAGTGGTTCTTCTTCTTTGTTCTCACAGCCGGTTCCCTTCACCTTGGACAGTGTTGCAGAGACAGTCCACTCTCTGTTTGCTGAGGACACTCCTGTAGTGCTGCAGCTGGCCCCCAGTGAGGAGGTAATGAAAATATACTGAGACTGTACAGGGAATACTCACCATGTGTGCATTCACTCATGTGTTAGATTTTTGAAATGTGTTTGTTGTGTCTCACAGAGGTTGTATATGCTGGGCAAAGCCAATGCTGTGTTCGAGGACCTGCCAGTGACCCTGCAGCAGATCCGCGCCCGCCTGTCCCAGGACGGCTCGGTGCTGGCCTCCCTGCCGCTCAACTCCCTCAGCAGGAATGCAGAGGTGAGTTTGAAAGGGCAATACCGTACACACTCAAGGCTATGCTGGCTGTTAACAACCACCATATGCTTTTTAGAGACACATCTGCGTCAACATGATGGTTGACTTTAACTGGGATATCACTATCCTTTTAATATACTTATTTACTATGTATATTTGCATATGATTAAAACAGATATCATTTTTTGTATTCTTGCTAGTACACTTAATAAAATATATATATATATAGCACCAAAATACCTTTGATTCCTGAAGGTTCCTCAAATAAAGTGACTAGATTTACCTGATTTTAACTATTTCTGTTAACTATGTTCGTCTCACTGGAAGTCTCTTGTTTATTCTTACCTCTTAACTGTTTCTGCTTTCTAGGCTGATTTGCTCTTCCTGTCTGAGGTCCAAGTCCTGCACGATATCACCGCTCTGGTAAGTTGGCCGGTTTTGCTTAAAGGTCACCTATTATGCAAAATGCACTTTTTCATGTCTTTTATACATCAACATGTGTCCCCTCTGTAAAGAGATTCTGAAATTTTCAGGAAAAAAGACCCCCTCTCTTTTTGTCCTGATCCATTTATATAAAAACCTGTCAGAAAATGAGCTGATCAGATTTTGGCCACTTTGTGTCATAACGATTGTTTGGCTTGTGTAACCATTAGCCAATCAGCAACCACGGTACCCCCCCACCTTATCACCTGAATCTCCTCCTAGAGCACCAGTGTGTTATTTCTAACCAAATATCTCTCAGAGGGGCGTGGGGAGGGGCTCCTTATTTTCATCTAAAGTTACAGACAGAGAATCAGCACTTTGGAAACAGGGCTGAAACAGAGGGGATTATGGGTAATGCTGCAATGATCTGTTTGGTGTTTGGAGTCAAACACTTCAGAGACATGTTTTGTATATATCTGAGACCTATAATATATTGATGATAAACAGTATAATAGGGGACCTTTAAGTTATATCATTCTGTAATATATCTTTGGAGTATTACGGAAATGATTACAGGTCAAATACAATACTTTCTGCTCATGATTTGACCCAACACCTCTATTTTAACATGAATTCTGATACACATCCTATGCCAAATTA